GCTGGAACTACTAGTGGGCTCAATAATTCTGAAATGCTACATGGTCAACAAATTGATGGTAAGTTTCGTTATCGCCCAAATCCTGTATACCTTTTTTCGTAACATCCTCTTGATTTTAAAAATCAAGCTTAGCTTACAATTTACGTTATTACTACAATCTGTTTGTTCAACATTTTTTCTGCTTTTGAGCATCTATGTTTACAAGGGGTGTGGTAGTGCCATATTCGTTTGTGAGTTATTTTCAAACTTCTTCGGATATGTCTAAGTTTGTCAGCTGCATTCTTTTTTTTGGAGGAGAATAACGAATTAAAACAACTGTTGTGTTATTGCCTACATATTTAAATTTGCCAGTGATGAAGTCTGCCTGGATGTTGGCTTGGAATTTTGTTAGCGACCTCTTGTAGCAATACAGAATACTTCGTGCTCGTCTCAAATACACCACCTTGTATATGCGGTTGGCGTCTCTTTTCAGGATTTTCATTTCTGGATCACTCGATGGTTTTGCATAATGAGTGGGGATTTATAAATGAAGAAATTAACTGCTGTGTTGGACATTGAAAAGTCCAACCATGTTGAAATCCGTTATGGTTTCTTGGCTCATAAGTAGACATTTATAATTGATCCAAGGCTTACCCATAACCGTACATCATGAAACACTTTGTGGTGTCTAAGTGCTTGCTAACTGTACGAGCTCTTTCTGTTGCTTGAGCAACTTAAAATTATTTCAAGGTTAAACGATCTGTATAAACTATCGAGTATTTGTTTTAGAGATTAGTATTTACTTCTGATCCCTGTACGTAAAGCTGGCAAATCTCTGGGGTTTAAAAATGAGATGATATCATCTTGTTTATATTTTTTAAAATTGACGTTGATTCTTTACTTCTTTGTGCCAGGAATCACTCTTGTTCGATACCGGCGCCCTCTTGCTAGTCTAGATATCAATTATGACGTTTCACTGAATGCATCACAAGAAATGGTAGCAGTTTGGGCAATGGGCTCTCTAGCACCCGATAGCATGCGGGTTCATTTCACACCTCAAAACCATGGATTGCCTCAAGGAGTGAAATACGGATATCTTAACCTTACACTTGGGTCCTCACTCGACCAATGTTTTGGCCCGCTTCCAGCCTCAAACGCTTCTCAAGGAAACATAGTTGTTGCTGATCGAGGAACATCACTTGTAGTAACCTCAGATGTAGCATATGAATATCCAAACCCTCCTAACCCCAGAAAGGTCCTGTATATAAATTCAAAAGAAGCTCCTATACTGAGGGTTGAAAGAGGTGTGCCTGTGACATTTTTAGTACAGGCAGGGCATGACGTGTCTTTCTATGTGACATCTAATCCTATTGGAGGCTCAGGACGTTCTTCCAGCAAAATATATGCGGGTGGTCCTGATGCACATGGCGTTCCTACCATTCCTTACACTCTTAAGTGGCTACCCGACCGAAGGACACCCGACAAAGTGTATTATCAGGTTTGTCTTAGTGAACTCTTATGAGTTGCAGCAGTAGCTTGTATTACAGTGATTAAATAGGCTATTTATATGTCGTGTTATCTCAGTTTTTTGGACTTTGTTGATTTATTCGCTTTATTTATCAAACTTATGAGAAATTACTCTGGTATGTGGATTTCAGTCGTATTTTCAGAAGAAGATGGGCTGGATGGTGCAAGTTGTGGATGGTGGGCTATCTGATATGTACAACACAAGCCACCTGCTTGCTGATGGTCAAGTAAGTATTCAGAACTAAATTTGAGTCATTGAACTTCGTTTGACTCGTTGGTTGTCATGGGAGCTTAGTCCATTTTATGTGTGCTTGAAATAGATTTTCGATATATGTATATCTATACATATGCACACAGACACATATATATATATATATATATATATATATATATATATATATACACACATACACACACATATACTCACGCTAGCGGAAACCTGTGCCCTTGAGTCTGGTGAACTTCATTTAATCTCCCATTTGGATTAGAAGTTTGGAGACATCTCTTGTGAACATGTATGTGAATTCTAATTATTTCTCTCTCGCTTCAGAAATGTCTCTTTGGAAACAAGATACATCTATTGTGATTTTTAAACCCTGCCTTTAAAACAATATACTCCCGGTTGTCCTGTTTCAGAAACATCTCTTTTGAACTCAATTTTATACTCCGGACTTGTTTATGTTCGTTTATCTCTTTGTTGTTTTTCTCCCACTTTTCACGTGAAACTTATCCTTGTTATGCAAATAAATAAGTAATGTTCTGATTCTTTGAAGTAGCGGTACCAGAGTCGTGCTTTGAATGTTGCTACTTTTCTGGGTAATACAATTTTTGATAGGGAGATGAATCGTGGATGCTTCTTCGAGGTGTCTTTATGTATACTGACAATTATGGGACTGTATACTTGGTCAATACCTGGATGCATGCAGGTTACTCTCTTTTGGACCCTAACGAGCACCGATGTCTACTTTGCTGTTCGAGGGGAACGCAAGAGCGGTTACCTCGCTGTTGCTTTTGGCAGGTATGTGGTTCACAAATATCTTATGGAATGTTTGCAAATGTTATCTGTGCTTTTACGCTTTCAGGGAAGAGGTCATCTACATTTCTCAACTACATGCCTGCCATTTTTCTTACTAGCCTTCTCGTGGTTATCGAGGCGCAATTTTAAGGTTTGTTTAACTTGAAATTTGATTGTTTGTTTATTGCTTTGTAACTGCAGCGGCATGCTGAACTCTTTCGCCTATGTGGCGTGGATTGATGATAAAGGAAATGGGCACATTGGAACTTATTGGATCACGGACAAGGATGCATCTGGCATTCACCCGACCGCTGAAGAGCTCTTCAATAAAAAGTGTGAACGAGTAGATGGAGTGATTACTTTTGAATTCAGCAGGCCATTGAAACCAGATTGTCAGTCAGGTCAAGAGTGCAAAAACGTGATCGATGCCACAAGTGCGTTGAAAATGGTTTGGGCTATGGGTGATGAATGGTCAGGTATGGTTTGTAATTTGTTAAGTGTATCTTCTTTTGAGTAGATTCTATTCATATATCAATTTTGCCTCGGTAATCCTCTCCAGCTTATAAGTTATCTTTGAAATGTGGGATCTAGAAGGCGGGATAGTGGAAGTCATGTTTGTGGAAAATGACGCTAAGGGTTCAGATTCCTTTTGTAATGGACAAACATGAACGTGGATGCAGCCGACTAAGAGCATAACACAAACTTTTACATTTTGTACTGTTACCATCTCCAATATACGGCCAAATTTACCATTATTACATAAGTAATTGAAGACAGCCTGGCCGAAAACATTGTATTTTCTGCTATATGGTGCTGATGGTTTCGTACATGCGTGTTCATGGTTGCAGTGAATCTAACAAATGGGAATATACACACCATCGTAAGCACCACTCCAACTTTGATATATCTGGCAGCTGGCGCTGCAAAGGTCGAGGAGCTGCAACCAGTTTTAGAGGTTCGTTCTCTTGTTGCACGTGACTTAACATCTCAACGTTTGGTCAATTCGAAATTTGTGAATGGTTACGTCATATTCCTATGTCGTATGTCGCTTTTCTGCATGCATCTGCTTTGGCACTTGCCTGTACTCAAGTAATTACTAATATTGTGGCTGTTAATGACTATCCTTAATCAATGGTACAATTACATATTGTCGTACAAAATGATTTCAGGAATGTTTAGTATTGCTATCTTCTGATGATTTGTGCAGACTTCAATGCAATCTCTTGTTGGTGAATACTGAAGTTCGTTTTCGCCTCTATTTCGTTTCTGAACCTTTGCTCTTGTTCGTTTCAATATATAAAGCATGTTCAAAACGACTTATTTGAGAAACCTGCTAAATCTGCAGGTGCATGGCTTTATGATGTTTTTTGCCTGGGGTCTATTTTTCCCAGGTGGTGCTATGGCTGCTAGATATTTTAAGCACATAAACCAAGATGGTTGGTTACGGTGCGTTTTCTGTTGACATGGTCGACTCACTATTTTGAAATGGTTTTACTTTTGTTACATACTTAATGATCGAGAATTGTTTTTCATGTTCTGTTGCAATATTCGTTGTGCTTTCCGTTCCGATCTTGCACTACTGTCTTGAATACCTCTTATACTGTACTGTTGTAATCAATTAGTTTATACTAGTTGTCGTGGTCCTATTGGAGGATTTTAATTATTGAGAGTTCTGTTGGCTGTTGCGTTTGCAGTATCCATGTTTATGCACAGACTTCAGGAGTTTTTGTCACGTTTCTTGGACTGCTGTTTGCGGTCGCGGAAGTTAAAAGGTACTTGGTGTTTTCAACCTGATAACGGCATTCTTATCGAATTTGCCTTTCCTTTCTATCAGATACTGCGGTTAAGTTGCATTTCATTTCATTTTTGGTATGTTGCGTGTTCTCGTTCTAATCGACAAAGGTAATTGTGCAGGTTGGAGTTTGACAACGTACATACAAAACTCGGTTTCGTATGTTTGTTGTCAGTCTGCTTACAAGCAGCCACTGGGTTCTTACGGCCCCCAAAAGATCGGGGACTTCTACGGACAGTCTGGGAGTACTTTCATCTGTATGCACTATTTGCTCCCTGCCGAGTCATTTTACTCTGATTTGATTATAATTTCGGAACCTCTGGTCATCTGAGATCATCTTGTTTGCGTGAGCAGGTTTACTGGGCGAACGCTGCTTTTATTAGGATTTGTAACCCTTTTTACAGGTGTTACGCAGTTAGGATCTCGAGATGAATTTGAACATGTGAGAACGTTGGAATGGTCTATTGTAGCATGGGTTTTAGCCCTGGCCTTCACATGTGGTTATATTGAGATGCACGACTTTTGGATAAGGTAACGTTTCTTAATCCTTGTGTTTTTGTTATTAGCCGATTAGCTCGTAGTCACCGGTTAATTACTTGCTGTCTCACGGCGATTTTTTCGTTCATTTTTTGATATATTAAATTAAAACCACTTTTCTTGTTCCTAGTTCAAACAACTGCTTGAGCTGTTTTTTGATTGCGGGTAGACCAACTAATTAGTACATGTACTGTTGTCAGCCAGGCTTGGTTCATGCTTATGCAAACCCTCAGTTCTTTCGACAGCGAAAGTGTTTTTTTTATTCTTTCTATTTAGTGGTGTCATTTCATGATTGTCATGGTTTGAACTTGGTTTTACAGGGGCCAGAAGTCATACACATCGTCAGGCAGTTTTCGGCAAGGATATACCTTAGGGGACGATGAAGATGATTCTACAGAGCTTATTACACCTATTCAAAAGGAGTCAGATCAGGGTCCTCAGAACCAATTGGAGATGCGAGGAACCATGGTTCCACCGTGAACACATTGAATCACAAATGCTGTGTTGAACTTACCCAATTTGTTTCACGAGGTCTGTTTTTATGTAGTCAAATTCATTCACCAATCATTTGGTGCCAACACATTCAGTATTTTATTTCATGCATAATGGCAATCACTTTTATGATTTCATGGCGGATCATGTTGTCTTCAATCTCATGTCCCAGATTGAAGAATACTTGCCTGAGTTGGTTAATCCCCAGTTGTTTTCTTCTTCTTTCCTCTTCCTTGTCATAGTCTAACAAGGTTGAAAAAATGTTAGGTCCAAAAATTGGAATTTTTGGTAATTTGTACTGAAGTGATTAAAAATGTAGTTTGAAGTCAAACAATCATATTATAGTTGTCTTAACCCAAAAATTGGACATAAGCATATACATGTTAAATTAGTTAATTTAACTTATAGTTTTTTTTATCACATCTTCATTATTTGTATACAAGAGCTCAATGGACGAGTAACGCTTGAGGTAATTTGAGGTCATGGGTCCATTTCCTAGCATAAACATGACTTATAATGCCTACCTTCCTTTGATGCTAACCAAGTGTGCTTTACTTTTTAGTCAAAGCCTCTTATGGCTATGTTGTGTGGAACTAAGTGAGAAAAATCTGCCTCCTCCAAATGTAGCTGGCGGAAGGGATACTAGGCTGAGGATTTACAGAGCACCGCATAGTTTGGGAGGTGATGCTTTGTTCCTGGGTCCCTGGTATCATGCAACCAACGAACGAGCTAAATTACCGTGATTGAACAGAAGCACCAAGCCAGGATCTGAAGAGAGGCTTGAAGAACCTCTTAACCCTAGATGTGCTTGAAAAGTTGTATGATTACTATTGCATAAAGCTGATGTTTCTCCTCACTTCGAACAGCTGCCCAAGTTAACGGAAGATAAGCTCTCAACAATCGCTTTATTTTGACACATCCTTAGGATGTTACGCTTCAAGCACACGCTACTGAGATGTTCCTTCGTGCACATATAAACCAAGCATGCGCTACCAAATTCTACCCCCTGACCAAGCATGTATACTTTTAAAAGAGCCACGAAGACTTTGACAAACTCGAGGTTGGACACAACACTCAAAGCTTCTAAAAACCTGTTTCATCAAACACTTCACCTTCTGGACGATACAAAGCCTTATGAACTGCCCTTCGCAAGCACCACACTTTCGTCTTTGACCCTCATTGCCTTGCCATTGTCAGAGGGTTTGGATGACTGCGGGGGTCGGTGCTTGGACAGCTGACTAGTGGCTCTCTGGTACTCCACAGCGGCAATGGAGCGATCCATTTGGCGCATCAACAGGTCTGGATCTGGTGGTTGTGCAACATGTTTGTTTGTCTTGGTATCGTCCTTTTTGGTTCTAAAACCCAGCCTCGACATCTGTTTGCTCCTATGCTGTGCTTCTACTTGCAAAACTGGGGACAAGTTGCACGCATGAAATCGCCGTCAGCATCACCAATGAACTCAAACAGCAATAAAATCACTATCTATTTGATCATCCCGTACGTGTGGAACAATATAGTGAAACAATTCACTGAATTCTGGATTCATTAAGCAGCAGCACGATGGTGATTCTTGGGACTGAGACCCACGGCTGAGATTAGATAAACTTTTAGCTGAATAGCTTTCGTGTGCCCAACAGTTAGGGTTCAAAGGAAAGGACATCAAATTTACATCTTCGAAATCTACAGGTAAAAGGGAGATGTAAATTTGAACACTCGCCTCAAGCTAGATCCCGTAACGGAGGATACGATGCACTTTGATGGGCATCAACGTTGCAGAGCTAGGGCACAGAGTTCCTCAAACCGATAAAAAGAACATAAAACCCAAAATCTTCTATCAATTGGGAAGTGGTATCTATTCATTGAATCTGCGTTCCATTGCTATTACACACACGCAAATTCCTTGATTCATAATCGAGACAACACTTGTGAGGTAGGCAAGAAGGAGAGTACGGAAATTCTGAACAGCGTTCAATGACTGTGCACAGAAGAATTAAAAATTACCTCGCAAGCAGCATCCAACTCGTAGCAGAAGCAGAGGGCTATTCCAACCACTTCAGCAGTACATTTCTTATCTGCTCTTCGATCGGCAACATACCCACACGGCTATGTTACTTAAGTATAATCATCCTCCCCCGCCTCCCCCAATGCCAAAATCTGAACTTGAAATCACAAGTCTTACCCAATCGATTCTTCAACGACTGTTAGATCGCAAAACAACACCTCGATCGAAGCTCTCAGGCACACACCGACTCAGAATCGGAGAGTTCTTGCATCCTAAAGTGGTAGGCTGGGTTTGCGCTGTGAGAAAGAACCACGCCGAAGTTCGGCATCATGGAATTCGTTCAATTTTCCGCTTAACGACACAGCGGCCACGTGGTGAGTTCATCATCCCACAAAATTGCAGGACCTCACAGATCGCAGGAGGGAAGATGCATCGTCAGCCTCTAGAATCCAGAATTAGCTCGAATCCCCGGCGACAGCAGATGAAAGATGGATGAAATCAGAAGGACTGGATTGGGTATAACTGTTCGGGGTTGTAGGATCGCGAGAACTGGTAGACGATGAACGAAGGGTTGTGTGAGGCTTATCCAACATCATAGTCAAGCTGATTCTCTTTGCCTTTCTCATGGGCTTTTTCTCCTCGCAGGTTGAGTTACTCGTCTAGGCGATTCAATTGCTGTTTGTGGGAATCGGAAATTGGTTAGTATGGCGGCCATGGCAGCAGCGACTCAAGCGCTGGGGTTGTCGACCTCCTTCGCCTCGCTCTCCTTGCAAGAGCCCAGCAAGAAATTGGCCTCGCTCTCGTCGTCTGCCAGTCTTGGCTTGCGATGCAATGCGTTGAAGTCGTGCGTGGCGATGGGGAGGAGGACCGTCGTGGCCTCGCCGGTTGTTCGCGCTGTCATGGCTGAGACTGCCGAGGCTCTCAGTCCCGAGATGGAGGAGAGGCGTACCCTGGAGGCGTGGGTGAAGCAGCAGCTGCCGGGGGGTTTCGCCGCTGCGCGCTTGAATGGTACAGGCAGGCGCAAGACCGCCGTGGCTCGAGTTGTCCTTGTCGAGGGTACTGGAAAGATTGTTATCAACAACCGCACTGCTCAGGTTTGTAGCTCAAAATCGTGTTGGCCACACTACCCACATCCTTGAATTGTCAAAATTCCTCAAATCCTCCGTGTGGGTGTTTTGAGGCAATGTTTTAGTGTACAGGTCAATGTCGCAGACTTTCATCTTCAGACTCTTATCCTCTGTTTTCAGCATCTTAAGCCTTGCTATCATCGTGAATTCTGGGGTATTTTTTTATGATATAGCGAAAACACGAAGCATAGCATCTGTAAGGATGCCCTTCGAAGAGCAGCTTCAACTCATCGAATTACATTTAGGTTACAGAACTTGAAGCATTGGCTGTGCTTCCATCTCGCATTGTGCAGGATTATCTTCAGGGGAACCCGCTGTGGCTGCAATCTGTGAAGTACCCACTCGCAAGCTTAGGCTACGAGACTAAGTACGACATCATCGTGAGAGTCGAGGGCGGGGGCTTATCAGCTCAAGCGCAGGCAATCTTGTTGGGCGTGGCGAGGGCATTGATTGTGGCCAATGCAGCGAACCGAGACCCGTTGAAGAAACAGGGCTTGTTGACTCGGGATTCACGAGTTGTGGAGCGGAAGAAATATGGGCTCAGGAAGGCCCGCAAGGCGCCTCAATACTCCAAGCGTTAATTACTTTCTGTCGTAGAGCAAGAATTTGGCTGCCATTGTCAAATGGAGATTAAGCGACACGACGCTCTGTCTGTAATAGGTTCAGATTCATTTTAAGACGGAATTGACGCAGCCCCATTTTTTTCATTTTCCTTTTCTCGTCTCCGGGTTGGCTTCTAGAGCATTGCAACGAAGAGCATTACAACTGTAGAGACCATGCAGACTGACAATCTGCTCACTTTCCAATGCCGATTAATATCATTTATTCTCCCATCCTGTGTGTACCCTATTCCGATTGCGCAGCTCTGCCTCAAGCTCGCAAAGCATTCCTGAGCCTGCCAATGCAAATGCCGAAGGACCCATCTTGTTAAATCTTCTGCGTGAGAATTGTTTGCAAATCTAGGTTCAGAATACAATCTCACGTCGACGTGCAATCCCTTGAATTCCAAGGTTTCTACGATTACACTGTTAAACTAACACTGCTTGCGATTGTTACCACCTCATCAATTGTTAACTTTTGTTACATGGTTAATAATACCACTGTGTTACACTCAATTCTCTTGATAGTATAAAAGTCTGATTGCTGATAACACATGAAACTGCACAAATGATATTGAATTGAAAAAGAAAACGTCTACGACATTGGAAAAAATGTCCTAAACTACACGAAATCTGCATGGTTGCTGGGCTCGCATAAGTGGTCTACACCCTCCACCACCTCCAATCCCAACACATAATTTCTGTACAGATCTACCCTCACGTACTGGATGTGCGCAATGAATCTAAGAAGTGAAGCAGAAGAGAATTATACAGACACGCATCTACGTTCATATCAACCAACAAGATGAGATGGGTCAAAAGTTGGCAGCCATATTCGTAAAAGTCCAGGGGAATCGCTTATGGAAGACTGAATGAATGAATGGGTCTTTCCATCCATGGGACGATGGCAAGAAGCAGAGGAGCGAAGGGGAGACGAAGGAGCTTGCGGAGATCGAAGCACTTGCGTTAGGGTAGAACCCACACTGTGAGGGGCCCTCTCTGTGTCCGTGTGTCTGTGTCCCTCTCTTGTTGGTGTGAATACCCGCAGATGCAGCAGCAGAAGACGAAGAGGAAGAAGAAGACGTGGAGGAGGAGAAAGCAAGAAGAGGCGTGGTAGGAGAAGAAGAAGAAGAAGAAGAAGAACCGAGGGCAAGCGAAACAAGAGGCAAAGGGTTGTAGTTTTGGACGTCCTTGTGCAACTGGGGGTCGGGAGACACACGATGTGTTTACTATGCCTTGCGTCTAGGTGGTCGCGGCGGATCGTCGCCATGCTGCCATGGCTCATTATCCCCTTGATTATCCTTTGGGCTTTGTCGCAACTTCTGCCTTCGAATTTCCAGTTTGAAGTCACCTCTCCCAAACTTGCGTGCGTGGGGGTTTTGCTCGTGAGTCTTGGATGGTATGAGTTGGCCATTCCCCAGCTGACCGTCTGGCGATCGAAGCGCAGCTATATGCTGCAAGAGCGTAGACGGTTGGAGGCTCTGGAGGCTGCGAAGTTGCGCAAATTGGCCACTCGACTCTGTCGCAATTGCTCGTCTCCGTATCGATTTCAGACGCCGGTAGGTGGCAAATTCGTGTGCACTTTTTGTGGGCATGTCTCCCGTAGGCCGGTGTTAGATGTGCCGCCCGGCACCGCCAATGTTGCTGGCAGTGCAGAGACGTGTAGTGAATCTGATTCCGCCGTGACTCGCCAATCTTGGTCCGGCAGCGGGAACAGGTTAGACAAACGAGTGGTGCATCTGGGAGATAGTAGGGGAGGCTTATGGGGTTTCATCGGCTGGCTGTATAGCCTGAAATTTTCTGCTCTCGGGGTTATTCGTGGTTGGAAAGCACGCGAAGGGGCCCCGATGGGTCATTCCTTGTCAATGGAGGTGTCATATTGGTGTGCTTTGTGTCCACAAGGGGATGCCGAGCGTAGCAATGACAATTCCACACGATTGCTTGACAACGAGACTTGTCGTCGATATTCCTCATTTCCATTCTTAACGCTCCGGATGTTGTTTATACTTATTGTTCGCCTGAGATCACTATTCCAAAAGGCATGGTATGAGGCCTCTGGTAGGGCAAAGTCGTCTGTGAGTGGGCGAGCAGGGAGTCAGCATCTTCGGGAAGGTGCGAATTGTAGAAAATGGAGTAGGAGTGAGAAGGCTCGCCGGAAAGCCGAGGAGAAGAGACAGGCTAGAATAACGAAGGAGCAGATAGAGGCTGACGAGAACAGGCAACGTGAGGAAGTGGCTCGACTTGTGGAGGAACGACGGCGACTTCGGGACGAGGCACTCGAGGCAGAACGAGTGACTAAGTGGGGTGTAGCGACAGATAGAGACTCAGAGTTCCACTGGGATGGGGTAGGAAAGCACTGTCACCAAGCCAAGTGCGTAGAGAAGGATACGCTAAATGGGAGACTTATTCTACCTGACTTAGTAGATGACACCAATTGCGTGGTAAAAGAAGAGCGTCAGAAGAGAGATGTCAGAGGGAAGAATTCTCATGGGCGAAAATCAAACGAGGTTGGCAAGAAGCTGGGTGTAAGGAGGTCGCTGGTAACTGCCAAAGAAATTGCGAAATCGGCTTCAAAGTCGGACAGAGCGGATCACAATGCGAGGGGCACAGATATGAATAATGCAGGATCTTCTAAAGTAGGAAGATGCAGTGGAACGCTTCCTTTTCCTGTCGCTACCGACACAAAGATGCAAAACATGATCGCGACACCCACTTGGAATAAGAGCTCTGCTGTAGCACTTAGCCCCGCGAAAACGTCGAGGTCTTCTGGAAACAGCGTTGTTGAAAATAATGGTAACTTATGTAAAAACATATTGTCATCAAGCGGACATCATCTGGATCGTGGCCTACGTGCATGGAACAATATCCGTTGGCGTAATGTTTGGGGTAGGGTTGCCTCAACATCCTCACTTGAAGAATGCGATGCTCCACCTGCCCCGTCAAACAACTTAAATTTGAAGTCTACTTCTTGTAGTGATTTTTTGAAGGAAGAGAATTGGTTTGAAGGCAATTCCTACCTGGAGTCAAAAAATTCTGCTGACCTGGTAAGTAGGGAACCCGAACGCTCATTGGTTGCTCATTTCTCGATATTTGGTTTTATTGTTGTGGCCGTGACTATTTGGGAAAGTGCTCTGCAACTAGATGATTTAATTTTAGATTTGGTTGGATCTTAATTCGAAATTGTATGTCACATTTCCGTCTCCAGATTAGATTCAGACAACTTCGTGCATAGATTTTGTTTACACCGGTAGATAGAAAAATTTGACCTTGATTAAAGCTGAGATTATTCATTGTGTATTTTTTTTCTTTTTATTTTTCTCCTTTCAAAGGCTTAGAAGTTCATTGCGTTTATTGTCACCAATGTGATAGAATTACATTTACTCCTGAATGAACTAGGTCCTTCCTACCGTTTGTGCCCTATCAATATTAGAATTCATGCGGGTGTACGTCTCAACGGGCAGCTTTCGTAGTCTAATACCCGACTTTTGCAGAGTCGAATTGAAGCCTCTAAATTCTGAACCATAGAGTGCAATGAATACTTCGTGATTGTTATTCATATTAATGGTCAGATTCACACATATGTTTCCTTTGAAATTTCAAGTTCGTTTGGAGTTCGAAGTAGGAATATGTTTCAGACGTGCCCAAATATGTAGTCCGTTCATATAACTGTGCACTGTAGTCTAGGTTGCTAGCAAATGTCCCAAAGTTGTCATGGCTTTGGAACTGCCGTTTAGACTTTGTGAGCGAAATAATGATTCGTGGGTATGAAATGCTTCTCAAATGAGATTTTAAAATATTTGGGATCAACTAAGAAGTGCGGCACGGATGGACGTCCTAAAGCATCATTATTTTAAGGGTTGGAACCTACGTACAGTATTAAGTGCTATTAAGTACATGTATTGCCTACCTTTTCAGTTTTCATTTTCGTGGCAGATTTTAGCCTTTTTAGATATTACCTTGTGTTTTGATCAATTCTGATTTTTTACGAACTTGATCAATCAGCTGACCAGTGAAGCGTGCAAAAACTTTAGGTGACTGACAGTGCTTTAACTTGGTAATTTTCGTTTTTCTGGTCTTGTAGCCTCAGCTTCTATTGAGAGGGAATGAATGTACTGAAAAAACGCAGCTACCACTTCTTACAGTTTTAGGGTAACTATGAGGTAGATTTTATTAACAAGGTTCTGTTTAAAGTTATCATGGTACTTAGCAAGCGGGATTTGCCTGTCACAATTAAGATGCATGAGATTGGCGTCTTTGAAAGTATTTATCGTCTTGTTGTGGTGCTTGACCAGGGGGATGACCTTATTACTCAGTCTGGAGTGTCTCCACTTCAGACGTTTCCTAGGCAAAGTCTCAGAGAAAAAAACTATGTTGCACCAATTGGACCTCAACAAGTCAATTGCACACCACCGTCACGTGTGTTGAACAGCACCCATTCAGTTTCTGGAGAAGCTGCATCCCCCGGGATAATGGGGTCATGGGTGGACGTGCTTAAAGGTAGAAGTCAGTCAGCATTGGTTCCTGAGGATTATGCTGCGGATGATGCTGTTGAGAATGGTAACTGGAAAATGTGGGAATCTCCACAGCTCGATCACATACAGCTCTCTTGCAGCGAGAATTCTTCTAGCTCTTTAGCTTGGATGCTTCCGCCAGGGCTTTTTTCTGATTTGGGAAACTCAAGTTGTATGGGTGTCTCTGCCCAGCTGGAGCCTCAGTTGCCCAATTGTTTTTTTCCGTCGCAGCCAGGATACAGTTGCTCAAACTGTCCTGCGACGTTGCCCTCAAACACTCCGAGTCTATGGTCTAGCGACCCTTCTTTTATTTTCGGGTCAACGACTCCACAACAAGCTGCTGGAGTTGCTGGGTGCATCTCAGAGATCGTGATGGAGGAACCGATGAAGATCACGGACGACTGTTTCTTTAAGCATTCATCCATACTGCGCGAGCCCCAGTTTCGTGCCCTTCTGCCATCCTGAAGCTTTTGCGCTTATTTTGTTGCTTCTGCCGCAATATTATAATTATTTTTTGTGGGGTGGCTCAACTTTGGAATTACAAGCTTAGAATACATGCTTCCAATACCAAAGTATCGTTCTTATCAGCAAGGATTACATAGTACTTTCAAGTTCCTCTAAAGACACAATTATTGCTGATGTATGAATCGTTTCAGTGGGCTATCATTTTGATGGCGAATGATGCAGGATTTATGATTCTAGCACCACATCAGGCGAGTGTGTGGCTCCATATTCTACGACGTTGCCCTCAAACACTCCAAGTTTATGGACAGGCGAGCCGTCTTTTGTTTTTAGGTCAACAACTTCACAACAAGCTGCTGGAGTTACTGGGTTCGTCTCAGAGAACGTGATGGAAGAACATATGAACATCACGGACGACTGTTTCTATGAGCATTCATCCATACTGCGCGAGCTCCAGTTTCGTGCCCTTCCGCCACACTTTTTTGTTGATTCTTCGCAATATAATAATTATATGTGGGGTGTGGCTCAAGCTTGGAAGTTTTTTTCTTTTACGGGCTCCAGATGTGTGCTTTGTTAAATCCACGTTCATCGTTCTTATTAGCATGCATCGCATATTATACTTGGATTCTTCTGAAGACACAATTATTGCTGATGTATGAATCGTTTCAGTGGGCAATCATTTTGATGCCAAATGATGCAGGATATATGATTCGAGTGTCACCTCAGGAGAATGTGTAGCTCCACATTCTGATGGGCATGTCGGCAACTCGAATCAGAATATGGCCTGTTTGCAAGAGAGGTAATTTTACTTTTACTCTTTGTGTTGCTCTCTGAGCTAGTTATTACATGAGAATGGTTTGTTGGTTTTGTGCGGAAAATGCGGCTGATTTATGTTATTAATAAGGCTTTGTACTTGTTCCTCGTGCCTGGATTGATGTCCATCAGCATAGATATTCTTCACTTTAGAATGAAAATTAAGTCGGGTCTAGTCTCTCTTTCTTTTTTTTCTTTTTATATTTCCCCTTTTCATTTCATCAGGGAAACTGTTTTTAGATCTTCGTTAACATCTGTCCTGTTGTGGTTTGACTTCCTCCCAATACATCAATCTTACGACTGGTTGAGTTATAAACCTAGACAGAGTTCGCTTTGAATTTGGAGGTTTATTTGCATTTTGTGTAGCTTTGTTGTGTCAGTGTTGATCCTTGTATGAAGGGCAAAATGAAGCGCTGTGCATCACTGTTATTGAGTGATTGCGTGAAAGGGTGCAGGTGAGGAATTCAAAGGCATCAGGCTGTAAAGTTGCAGTAGAATAAAAGACGAGTAGTCAGAAGGTCGGCCTGGTCTTAGTTAGTGGAGCTGGGCGCGAAGCGGAATATTGATCATAGAGAAAACAATTTGTGGGTCTCTTGCAATTAACCCCTCAAATGATGGGACGCACAAAACGTGTCCTTACTTGACATGTGTCATGAGGCATAAGTACTTCATGAGGACGTTGATAATGAAGTTAATGTTTCGTGGGTTCAACTCTAACATCAACAGCGGAATTCAGTAATATACGCACAAGTATTCGAGAGTGTTGGATTAATCTGAAGATGTGAAGGGAGATATGTACTACAGAAGAAAGTTGAGGTCAACAGGCAGGTGAAAGTTATGCATAACAGACTTACCGACTTGACAGGATCGGATAAAGTATTAGCTTTACCTCTTGCGTCGCACCTAACTTCATTGAAACCCGGTATTTCTTGCTTGCTTAAGGCGTTATTCCGAATTGCATCTCCTAAAGCCGACGTGATTGGTGCCGAGTCCATGTTGTGTACCTCAAGCAAGTGGGTTTTGTTTATTTGCCTTAATCAATACGTAAATGGTGCTAGGTTTCGGCCACAGATGTTCGTTCTTTGTTTTGAATGAGTATTGAGGTATATGTCGAGCATCTTACAATATTGACAATTTATGGTATATTTTTGAGCTATGAAGTCAGCATGTCTCATCACTAGAGAGGTTCATGGACCATTCAGGCAGCCACAACTGTCCAGAAATTAATCATTTTTGGGTACAGGATTCAAGAACTATCTATTGACCCCTTACATGTCTGAGCTTTGATTCCTATACAGAAGCATCTTTATAATGTAGTTGATTCCTTTCTGGTCATCTTTGTACTTTTCTATGATTGTTTGTCCATAGGAAATTTGTTCGAAGTCGAAGCTTTTGCTATTTTGACCGCATAACTAATTTGCTTTTGCTGTTTTTTCAGGTTTGTAATTAAAGTATGAAACTATGTTTATTACAAGGGCGTTAATGGGCAGAGATTAAATTACTAGTTCTTTTCGAATTGAAAGAAACTTAGTTTTTGTATAGTAAATTATTATTGTGAAGCTTTTAGTAAAATAAAAATTCTGAAGTTGATTACATGTAGTTTGAGTCAACATATTATGATCGCTCATGAATCCATTGAAGAGTATTATTTTTTATTGTTTCATAAAAACCAGTTAACGGTATTGCAACGATAGATTTAGTGTGTCGAATATTCTGTAGTTTTGAATTTTATCATATATATATTTATATATATAGAGTTATCCTGGTGTATGTATGGATGTATGTATGTGTGTCTCTCGAAGCCATTCTCCAATTAAATTTGAATAAATGTCGAATGGATGTGAAATGATATTTAGTGAAACTGTAAGCTATAGATGAATTTATTTTTGTCGGTTTTTTATCTCTTTTTTTGAAAAATTCCGCATCTTTAAAATATGTGGCTGACTAATAATATAGAAAATAGATGAAGTTACAATTCTTATAATTATTATAGCAACATTGAAAGTAGTAGAAAATGACAATGTAAGAGTCAGCAAGTGAAGTTACAAATGTATTTTTCAAAAACAACCGTGGTAGTTGGAATAATAAAGTTCGAAGTGAAATATATCCGAGTCGACAAACAAGTCATGGTTAAGAAAGACCTTCAATTACATGTTTTTCTGGAAGAATAAACTGAAATGAGATCTCATTTCATACAAACTTCGAACAAATTTGCCCTCAAGGTTGTTGACCCATCCACGTCAGGAGCCGATGCAGCGAGTGGGTGGTGAAGAGGAGCATCGAAGTCTGCTGAAGGCTCCGCCGGCAACTAACTTACCGGCCGCTGCAGGTTGCAGGCTCTCTCTCCCACCCTCTCACACATTCTTTAGTGTGTTTGTGTCTGTGTGTCTGTGTTTGTGTGTGTGTGTGTGTGAGGCAGTGTGAGCATCGCCCTTCGCACCACCCCCTCGGATCCTCTCTCCTCCCGCGCCGGCATGGAACTCCCCGCCTACACCTTCTGCCACCCTCCTGTACGCCCCCATCTGCCTGCCTCCCTGTGTCAGTTCTTTGGTGCTTGTGGGTTGCTGTGTTGTTTTTGTTTCTCTCTCTTTTGAGTGCCTATTCCGACGCATCGCGAGTCTGCGTGGCCTTATCGTCGTTGAAACTGCTCATGGCAATCGTTACTCTTCAGTGATCAGTGTGGAAGTATCAGAAGTTCAGGATATTCTAAGAAAGTTTCTGCCTTGAAGAGTGGCTGGAGTGGCTGATACTTGACGCTTGTGTAACAGATCATGCGTTTGTGTCCGCGTGTGTGTGTGTGTGTGTGTGTGTATGTATGTATGCTTTTTTCTGGAACGCCGACTTATGAGGGTTGGATTGTTGTCCGTGCAGGAGAAGCCAAGGAGGAAGAGCCAGACGTTGAACTTCTCAGAGGAAGGGTTCCCAGTTGTGCGGCCCTTGGGGTGGTCCAGACAACCGCTGGTGAACGACACCCAGGAAAACTATGACAACTCCGGAGCCTGTTACGCTTGCGTCAAGCAAAGCACCGGACCAACACCCGCATGGCTCAAATTTGACCGCCAGGTAGGTGACAACCAATCGGTTCTGTACATCGAATCGGAATATTTTCGCATAGGCTGCATGTTAACACGAATCGAATCAAAATGATGTGATCAGTGAGCGGGGGAACGTTGAGTTCCAGACGACAGCTTCCAAAGACTCCGTTGTGCAATTTGACGGTCGGACTGATCTGCGAGGTGGATTGATTGTGTTGCAGGTGTTGCGGTTTTACGGGTTTTTCAAGGAGCAGGTGGACGAGAGAGTGGAGGAGAATACGCGATTCCGCAAGTGCACAATCTATTTCTACCTTGCAGATGGCATGATCCACATTGGGGTATTGGTTTCCTTTCCTGTTCCGTGACTGATGAAGCTCTTCGAGGTTTTTGCTTTGCCATCTGGTTGAATCTTTCGGCAGAAGTTTGTTGAGAGGGTGAAGACATCTGAATAGTGCATATAGAAATCTTAGGGGAGGAAATGATGAGGACAGTAATTGCTACAAGAAGCTGAAAATTTCAAAAGAAAAAAAGAAAAAAAAAGAAAACCACTTTTTAAGTCCTTGGGACAAGCTTGGTATGGCGATAGCCATTGTTCGGTGTTCTTATTCTCGTGCTAATGGAATGAATTCATGTTTTCGCAAGCAAAAATTCCCAAATCTCATTCTCAACATTGTAGAGAAAGCTGATCTGAATGAAAGAAATCAAGCCTCTAGAGCTTGTTTTGTGTGTGGTGACAGATGATTTTGAGTGTCTGTGTTTCTTTTTTCGATTGCAACATGCATTGACTCTCGAAGGCATTGTCGCTAAACAGAGCGGTATTGTGGGAAAATTTGCAGGAACCGGCACAAAGAAACAGCGGAATTTACTTTCAGGTTTCTTCTGTCTATTCATGCATTAAAGCATCCTCTTCGTTACAAACAATTAATTTCTGAAATGGCTGTAGTTCCTTGACCGACAAAAGGTGAGAAGCGGTTATAAATTTCCACAATATTGATACAAACAAAGCCGCACAAATGCTACAAAGCCGACGCTACAACGCTACAACGCCCAACGCTACAAATTCGCACAGAGATTATTGTGGACTTAAACGGATTCCTCTTCGCTAAATCGGTTTCATCGAACTAAGTGACAAGATGAGATGGTTTTTTTACATGTTTTTTGCAAAAAAACACTTTTGAAGCACCAAGTTGAGAATGGTATACACGATGTATTGCAGGGAGTGTTTTTAAAGAAGCAGAAGGTGCCGAATGGACGAGGAGGTTTTCTGGAGCCAAAGGACTTTCAGCTGGGGAGGGACATCACCATCTACAGCCATACCTTCCACATTGTTGGTTGTGATGTTTTCACAAAGGTTAGACTGAACTAGTGCATCCTCATTTCGGTTCATCTTCCACTTTGTCTGATGGGTCGCAACAACAAGTCAAGTTAGCTCCCTGCTGTTCCACCAAGCTTACAAACGAAGCACTGACTTTGGTTGCGGGGAATTGGTGCACAGAGATACTTAATGAAGCAAAGGCTGCCTGTGGGAGACGAAGAGCCCTGGCCAAATGAGCCTCTGGAGGAGTATCGGGCTCATTACCGGACTTCCATCAAGCCTCACCAAAAGGAGTATGCCCTGCGCCAATTCCTAGACCTTGACGGCAAAGTGCTGCGATTCTTCTGTGTGTGGGATGATCGAGCCGTTCCTTATGGTGAACGCCGCCCTTACGTACGCCCTTCCACCCCTTCTAATCACTATTGTGCCTATAACACGCCACAATAGTATCAAGCAATCACGCATGTGTAAAAACTCTCGTAGAAGAATACTATATTCATGGGACACTACTCATTGAGGATACTGCAGCAAGAAGAAGTTTGACTGATGAAGTCGATGGGATTTGCAAACAGGTGTTGCACTACTTCTTGGGCGATGACACGATTGAGATCCTGGAACTGCATGAGCGCAACAGCGGGCGCATGAATTTCCCCATGCTAATCAAGCGCCAGAGAATATCCAAAGAAACTCCTCACGACCTCCTGAGTAAGTATTTTTCGGAGCTGAAACAGTGCGTTGTCGTCGCCTCGTGAGTGAATCCCTCTACCCTGCTCAGTGTCCAAAATGAGAAGAGTCGCCATTGTTTCAGGCCAGAAAAAGATTTGTGGAGAGAAGGATTATGGACCCAAGGATGTGTACTATCGCGACACAGACTTGCACGTAGGAAGCTATATCCGTGTCTTTGATCGCGACTTGCTGTTGCACGATGTTGATGAATTTACTCGAAATTACTACCGCACCAAGTATGGCTACACTGAAGACATGCTTGCGGCCATTGATGTCCAGGTTCACATCTAACCCCTGAGTAGCTTTGTAATCTGGAATAAATTCTTCCAGACTGGTAAGGGAATGTATAATTTGCAATATACAACTAGATCACGATTGTTTTTGTTTGTGCGGTGCCAGGAGGACGGTCCCGAATTTGCAAGGATGGAGATTCCTGAACACAATGGCATAGGATCCGAGGCAGATAGCTTGATGAACTGCATAATGTTGGTTCCCAAGGCACCCCAGAAGGATTTCATCAAGTTTATCTACAAGGACGGCAAGGTATGTCCTGACAACGATCCTAGAACGAAGTAGGAGCACCGTGATATCATATCTCAACAACTGTGTGAAGGATTGATCAGCTTGATGTTAACATGGGGTTCACCTCCGTCTCCTTTGCACTGCAGATCTTAACTTTCACATGCAGAATGGTAGAAGACCACACCCACAAGGTTCATCCGGTTGACAAGACGCGGATGATGGTTTTCCAAGTAAATGCTTCAGCCACACCTCACGATCACCTACGGATTACTGCAATCAAATATTGTTCAAATCATCGAACTGACTCGTGCATTTCATATTATGACAGTATTTCCTGTCGGATGATACAATTCAAGTGTTCGAACCACCAGCCCGAAACTCCGGCTGCGTGTCTGGAAAATACATCCAACGGATAGCGGCGCCGCGAGCTCCAGGCACCCAACGACCTTACAACGCCGGCGACTGTTACATGGACCAGAAGCTCTACCTCTTCGATCGGATCTTCGAGCTCATGGAGGCCGATGAGTGGACTCTCAAGTGGATGGAGGAGGACCCGGCAACGTTTCCGCTTGCGAATTACGAATTTGTGGCCAACAAGGTTCGAAACTCTATCTGATTAAGCCATTCTGAGCAATCACACAAACAAACACACACGAGCACACAGTTGATGCACTCACTGCTTTCATGTAAACCAGAGCTGAACTTTTGAAATCCACCCAAGTGGAGAAGAACAAATCTTGAAACTTAAGGCATCACTGGATGGTGGATGTGATGGAACACAGATTAAAGCAGCAATCCGGGGGTTACCAGCAACGCAATCGGCAGAGCTGAGCAAGAGTATCAGAGGGCCTGATCCACCTGCTTCACCGCCTCCGAGGAACCCATGCAATCCAATGCCGCCTGTGTCACCATGTGGCAACAAGTGTGCGGAGATGGCCACTCCTCCCTTGTCTTCAAAACGGCCCTGCTCTCCTCCAGACCCCATCTCACAAAGCCCACCTTCATGGCCGAAATCGCCCTCCGCATCACAGTTAGTTGCACTCACTCACTTCCCCTTCTCTCGCTCATTCCTGCTTCCTCCATTCTTTGTTTGTGTATTCCATTTTGGATTCCATCTTGTTACTGTAACGCACATATTGACTTTGTTGCCTTTGATCAGCAACTGCAAACTCAAGTTACCCAGAAAGCCACAATAACGATAACATTCGTCGTGAATGCCACAACGAATGTTATCGTTTTTATTTCATTTTTTGTTTGTTATTTGTTGTGATGTGCAACCCGTCAAAGACAACGTAGTTGCCGTAGTGCAGTCTGCAAGAAAAAGTATTTCGACAATAGAGTTTGTATATGTATGAGCTTTTTTGATGGAAAGATGTGTCTGATCTTGGGAGACTTTGTTCGGCACAAAATTTATTACTTTACTTGTCTGGATGGATTCCAGATTTTAAACAGAGTAGAATTCCATATACGTATGTAATTTGATGAAACCTTATAATTATGAAAAATCATTCTTCTGTGATTTCGTTTTAGTTATTCACTCTGTGTTTATGCACAAGGGTAATCATTTAATTCACAACGCAGTCCATTTAAAATATTTAATATTTTTATGATATTGATGCAGATTAAACCCTGCTGAATTCAATCCTATTGTTATAAAAGACCTGTTGGCTAAGTATCAAATTAACATCACCAAACAAGAGGTTTCCACTTTGGAGCGTTATTGTAAGAGAAGCAACCAGTTTCCTAATGTTTATGCGCTTCTCAAATCCTATTTTTAACCCGTGAATACAAGATATTAGAGATATTTGAAAGGGGGATTTTTATTCATATAACCTCTTCTTAGGTTTCATATCATTGTTTTATAAGATGAGATATACTTCTTCTAACTTCAATGTTGCACCCTCAAATATTTTTAAAAATTAGTTGTTTACTAGTGAATTGATTCTTTGTTGTAGGCAAGGTAAAAATGCTAAGTATGACTATTATATGAGTATTGTAATATGGCTATTATAATATTGATTAAAATTTCAATTATTGCATTAAAAACATGCAAGCATCTTAGTCTTATAATTATGTATATATATATATATATATATATAAATTGATGTTAAAATTTATCTTTACTATTATTTATTAATAAATTTTCAAAACAATATTTCTTGATTGTTTGGTCTTTACAAGGCTTCATCCTCTTAAATGGTATACATATATATCACCAACACCACATATTTTGGTGATGTTATCAAAACCTTAATAGTCAAAACCTTAATCAAAACCATCAGTTAATACACATGGCATAGAAATTTTTAATTTTTCTTTTTTATTTTTTTTATATTTTTTTATATTTTTTTATTATTATATTTCAGAATGAATAAATTATCTTGTTATAAACATGTTAATAATACAATATTTAAAATTACCTTAATTATTATTTTAATATAGTCTAATATATTAATAAGTTTGAAACCACTAACAAAATAAAGAATTAATACTTAACAATCATTCTAGGTAATAAAGTAAAAGATCAAAAATAGATTATTAAAGTCATTAAGTCACATACATCCATATTTATAACTAAAAATATATAAGAATACAAAAAATAAGATTGAGATAGGATTGTAATTTTTTTATTAGTTAATTCCAAAGTTACAAATTTAGCTACAAAAAAAGTCAAAAAAAAATCCTTAATTTTATATGTTAATCAAAAAAATTACTAAAATTCTATCAAAAAAAAAATCATCAAAAATACTGTAAAATAAGTAAAATATTTAGGTTATTATATGTATTTTTGAAAAGTTCAAATAAAACTTATTCTTTTAAAGATTAATTTTAATTGTTATATAACTAAAATATAGAAGAATTTATTATTATTATTATTATTATTATTATTATTATATGTTATTCATAGAAATCTATACCATTGGATACAAAAAAGTTATAAATTTTTTATTTTTTATTTTTAGGTCAAAAATTAACTACGCCTAAAAAAATATTGATCAATAAAAATATATTTATATAGATATAGATCTATGTATAAAAATAGAATTATTTATATTTTTTCAATATAATTGGAAAATGTGATTCTTATTTATTGCAACTTAAATAGCTAAGTTAAAAGAATTTTGAGATAAATCATATTTATGATGGTGTCTATCTTAACTATTTTTAACATATAAGATCTTGATTATATTCAAAGAAGTGCATTATGAAAGGATAATATACAACTATGTATGTGCAAATATAAGAATTCTATTATTTATTTCTATGTTCTTTAACAATCATTTTTGAAATTTGTTATTGGTCATTGTAGATGGTACTTTTATCAAAAAATTCCTTTGTTGTAACTTGAATAGAATCTCTACAAATGATAGGCATAATATGATCCTTGAAAGGAAAGTCTTTTATTCTTTATAGTCTCTAAATAATAGTCTTACTTCTGTAACTCAATTTTTTAGTTGTATAATAACCAGGCATGATTCATTATAAAGTCCTTAATGTAAAGCAATGTTTTACAAAAACATAATATGAGATCTAATATTTAAGTCCAAGTTAAACAATACCAATCTAGATGGACTTAAGTTATTCAAACACTTGATTAGATAATAAATACTATTATTGGTACCATCTTCCATAGCTACTATATCTATGCTTAGATAAACATGTGGACTCTAAAAAAATCTTTCCATTAGAAGTTTGATAGATCATTAACATCATAATTTTGTGAAAATATATATATATATATATATATATATATATATATATATATATATATATATATTTTGTTGGTGAAATATTCATCTTTAAGTGTTCTAATTTCATATTGTTCCAAATAGATAGCTTAAATCAAATCATTTGATATTAGCCCTACTTTCATATATTTTAGAAGAATCATTATACTTTTCAATGGATCTATAAATTTTTATCCATTTCCAATATATAAATAAAAACCATTTTTAGATATATTAAATATAATTATTATATGATGAAAAATCTCTCAATAGTAATAGGCTTGTATAATATATGCTTTTAAAAAATCTCTAATAAATAATTAATTCTTATTAGATTCACCTTCTAGATGCCTATTTTTGATCAACTTATATACTTTATTATGAGATCAAATCTTTGATTGTAATAAAGAAGCATCAATAATATCTTCTTTTAAGCCTTTAAAGATAATAATAAGAATCTACTAAAAATCTCTATCAAATATTATATTAATTCTAGTTAATAACTTGTAAGTATTATTTATATCTTAAAAAATTCTATTAATTGCTTTAATAGACAATGTTGCATTGGTACCTCATTCCAAATAATAAGAATTATCTTTTTTAGGATATTTTCATATAGTACATTCTTTATAATATTACAAAAGAAATCTTCACTAAGATAGAGAAAAATTTTAAATATAGAATATGTAATCCATCTATCACTTAAAAATTATGTTGCAATTTTACAAAAAAAACACATGTAATAATATTTCTATCACTTTAAAATTTCATTGATATTGTATTATAAACAAATATTTTTCTACTTTATATTGGTTCTTCTAAAAAATATATCCTTTTAAGATTCTTATCTACTAAAGCAAAGATATCCAAATATATGGTATGTTGTTTATCATTCAACTTTGCACACCTTCTTCCACTATTTGTTTTAGCCTATCACAATCTAATGTCATATGCTTTACAAGCATTCAATTTATTGCATTCTCATTCTAATTTCATTTCTACTATAGCATCAACAGAAAATCAACTATTATTTTGATTGATTCTTGAAGAATTTTATCAAAAAAAAATAGTGTATAATCTAATATCTTTCTTTTTATTAGACTTTCAATTTATGATCTTAAGTTGGTTGGTAATCTACATCATCACAAAACTTTCTTTAAACTTGTTCCATAAATCTTATAGATGTACAAATGAACATTAAAGAAGAATAACAATAAATAATTTTCTTAAGTATTTCTTTATTTTTATTACAAAGGCTTCTTCCAAGTATTGATTATGCTCTTTGTTATCCTGTATTAGTCTTATTTTTAAACATGCACTCTTAAAATTTGATTAAAATACTCTATTTATAGTCTATAGATCTTCAAATGAGTGTGGCCTATATACCATTATTAAAAGAATCTAAATAGAGAATCTTTTACTACTTATAGGATTAAAAAAATATATCCTTTTAATTGAAAATCTATGTTGTCTTATTGTTTACTTCTTTAAGGTTTAATTCCATATAAAATATTATAGAAATTATTGATATTAATATTGCCAAGTAATTTTTATAATTTCACACACTTCAAAAAATATCATTTAAATTATTTTTTGCCGCTTTTCATGGGCTTAGACTTCAATTACATTATTATTTAGATAAAAAATTACTTGATGCATTTTGAAAAAATGCAATGCAAATTAAATCACATTTCAAACTTCTTCATGTATTTTTATTCTAAACAAATACCATATTGCTTCTAGAGCTTCAATACCATGCATCAATATATTGTTTGGTTTCATCTTCTTCATTTTCAATTTTCATTATTATATAATCATGTCTTTTATAGATGTGTTTTTGAATACATTTTATAATATCAAGTGAAGCACAAAATCCAATATTGATATAGTAATTATACTTTTTCCTTAAAATATTATTATATGGGAAAATATTTTTATTATCTACAATGTGATTGCCAACATTGAAAGTTCTTCTATTTTTCTTTCAATAATATTAAAAATAGCCATTATCATCCATTAATGCTATTTTTTAATATTATTTTGAATATTTCTTTTGACATGTTTTATCCATCATGCATAGAGCTTACATTTTTTAAGATCCACATAGACCATAAAGTATGCAAGTGCTAATTGTTTCAAATAACAATGGATCTTCTTTTTAAAGAAAAAACTTTGAACAAACAATTCTATCAATATTGGCGACACCTTTTACTTTGATATTCTACTTTAGAAAGATCAAGAAGTGAATGTGCAAAAGACCTCACTTTTGAAACTTAATAGTATGTACTCTTATAAGTATATATCCTAAAATGTAATGCTTATAAACATCATCAATCAATGCACAATGCTTGAGTTCAAATACTCTAGCTACTAAGTTGGAATTATTCTTTAGCCTTTATTCTAAAAGAAGTGCACTTAAAATCTTAGCCTGTAAAAATTTGCAATCATTGTTCCAAATATATTTAGATATTAAAATTATTAAGTAATGCATATAAAATCTTAAAAGATTTCAAACCTATCATCCATTTGTGCATTTTGTATAAGTATCATCCACTTTAAAATTTACATGTCAACTTCTTGGTTTTCTACATCTTTATAAAATAATTTCTTATCTTTGATATATGTCTACACATAATCTATCTTAATTCATATTTAAGTATTTTAATCAATTTTGATTTTTTGTTGCCAAAGTATCTATAATAAATTCTAATAACAACTTTCTACTATATAAGATAGTCAAGTACTTTTTATATTGTAAAAAACATCAATACAAATAAAATCCTATTTGAATAATATGTGTAATATTTATTTTTGTACTTCCATTTCTCTTAGTTTCATCAATGGCATAGTTTGCTCATTTAATAGAGTATTCTGTAATGTAGGCATTGAAAATTTATATTTCTAATATTATGACAATCTTCTAATATTTTTCTTTCATTATAGTATTCATGAGGATATTGTTCTTTTAGTTCCCTAATTTTTCTTCTTCTATCATGTTTTCTTGCTTCTTTCTAAATGCACATATGGTTACTTCTTCTTGTTTCTTTTTCCTTTATTGTGTACGTGTGTGTGTATTTTTTTTTTTTTTCCCGTCAAGGATTTATAAGTTGACCCATCACTCTACCACACTATTATTTCTATTGATTGTAGTAGCATATCCTTCCACATCATGTTCATTTTTTTGTCTATATTCTTCAATACATTTGTATGTCTTTCATCTTAGTTATCTAACTATACAAAAATTACATATAAGGACAACATTATCCAAATTATTTCTTTGTCCATCTTAGATATCTTATCCTCTTTTTTTATATTCAT